GGAAATCCCAAGCCCCCCGCACCCCAAAACCTCCTTTTTCCCCCCCCTCCACCCTTTCCTAGGCCCACCCCTCCCCGCCTTCCTTCCACTACAGACTGAAACACCTTTAAGTTATTCGTTTCGCTCCATTCTCTCCCCCATTCCCAACCCCCTCAAATAATATATATATTATATACAGTCCATGGGCCCCCGATTACGAAGGCCTCAACTTAGATAAAACCGACCTACAGTGTTGTCGCGTAAAAAAATTTACCTCGACCACGTTTGGAAAATCGACTTACACATTCTTCCCAATGTGGGTGTCTGGTCCGTCACCTGACGCCTCATAAGCTAGTTGACATTGTTACAAAGGGCGGGTGGTTGCAGCTTCATTCGAAAATTTTGATTATTCCCTGTTTTTAGTGCTTGTCATGCAAATAACCACCAAGGGGGCCCAAAAAAAAGCTTTGCCCAAACCCCTTTATCAAAAGGTAGAAATACTATTGAATGCATTTTACCCGGTCACTCAGCTGACCACGGTCAGCGTATTACTCAAGATGTGGGGAGCTGTTGTCAGGGAGTTTATGAGAATCCCAGAAAAAATTAACCCCCAAAGGGGTTTGCCACCCCCGATAAAACCCAAGAAAATCAGGTGTCATCGAGGCTGTTAACTTTTTTCCATTGGGGTCCTTAATTTTGTCCCCAGAATAAACCCCCACCATCGACCAACAACCCCGGGAACAGGGGAAAAAAGCCTGGGAAATAGTGCCATATTGATGAATTTTTTGGGCCCGCAAAGGTTTGGTTTTAGGGATTTAAGAATCGATGGGTACACGGTGTGAAAGGCATGTTTGGAAAAAATGCCAAAAAAGGACCTTTTTTACTCAGGAGGAAAAAAGGGACTCCCCCGGACCCAAACAGTGTTCATCACCCCACCACACTTCAAAAAAGATAAGTGATTTACCTTCATTTTGTACTTTCACAATATATATTTTGGGATGTATCCTTGTTTTGTGGGAAGAAATTTTTTTTTATACTTTTTGGGGGTCTTCAATGGGGGAATTGGGTTTTCTTATTTTTTTATGGGAAAATTTTCTACTACGATAATTTTGCTTATGATTGCCTCGGAACGGATTAATATCGTAAGTCAGGGGGCCATTTTTATTGGTCTTACGGGGCCCCAAATGTTACAAAAAAAAAAAAGTTGAAAAGAAAAAAAAAAATATAAAAATTTAAAAAAAGAAATTGTTTTGATAATGCGATGGCTGCCCCCCCGGTCTTTTGGGTGAACTTCACGCCCTATACTCAGTAAGTACTGCTCTATTTTTTTTTTTTTTATTACATTCGCAACATTATTATCTTTAATTCTGTAAGAAAAAAATAATTTTTTTTTTTTTCAAATTTTTTTCTGCACTGGGGCACCCATTGAAATTTTGGCTCTGGACCCTGAAAGGGTTAAATGTTTAAACTATTTCTTGCCACTTTCAGCAACACTTGTGTGCCTACTGGGTGCCATGATTGCTTGGCAGATACAAGATATGGCAATTAAAAGATCTAAACTCAGTCCACAAACTTAATAATAAACACAGCTAGCTCCTAGCTGTGTTGGGGAAGTATCCCGCGGGCGATGCTCCAAATATTTTCCCCTCCCGCAAACTGAACCGTCTTAAGTTAATTTTACGAAGTGCTGTATAAATTGTACCTCAGTTTTTTGATAGTGCAATAACTGAAACGTGCCAAATAAAGCCGTGTAATATAACAGTCTACTGTATCTTCAAAGCCATCACCTGGGGAAAGGGAAAACCAGTAAAAGAATTAACTACAGAAGCCCATAACTTTCCCCAGCCTACATTTAATGTTAATTGGGGCACTTCATTCCATGCACTTCTAGAATAGCTGATGGCATCTGCAATGTTAAATTTGTTCCAGAAGTTTGGAACTGATAGGTTGGAGTCAGAGTCCATTGATGTAACTAATTTTTTCATAATTTTTCTTGTGTAGTTACAGTTGAATGACTTAATAACTCCATGATCCAGTGGTGCTAAAGATGTTGTATTTGGTGGTAAAAATACAGCATCTTTAGCACATTGAACAAAGATTCTGGATAAGTACAGGAATTATCAAGAGTGAAGAAACCCTTGAAGGTAAGGTTCTTGTTGTGCAGGTAAAACTTGACTTTGGGAACAAAATCGTGCTTAAACCAGTCAGTAAATAATTCATTTGTCATCCATGCTGACTGGTTTGACCTCCAAATTACCGGTAAGGTGTTTTTATCTACACTTTTCAAAGCACGAGGATTCTTAGAGCGGTAAATAACCATGGGCTTACACTTGAAATCACCTGATGCATTACCACAAAGGAGCAAGGTGAAGCAATCCTTTGTTGCCTCGAAGCCCAGTGCACTTTTCTCTTGCTGAGTGATATAAGTTCTTGTTGGCATTTTCTTCCAAAACACACTTGTCTCATCACCATTAATCCTTTCTCTGTCAGTCCCATAATATTACAGCTTGCAAACCAGTGTTGGTCTCGTAATACTATGCCAGAATTCTAGCAGCTTCAAATCTGGCTGGAAAAAGCTGGAAGGCCTACATGTGAGAGAATGGGTCTGTGTGCTTAGTGTATATTTTTGAGGTCTGCAGTATTACCTATCTTGAAAAGGGCTGTTAGTGGATAGCAATACTCCAGCCTAGAGAGGACAAGCAATTTGAAGAGTCATCATTGTCTTGGCATCCATGGTTTTGAAGGTTCTCATTATCCATCCAATCCTTTTCCTAGCAGATGTGGTAGAGGCATTGTTGTGATCTTTGAAAGTGAGATTCACTGATATTATCACTCCTAGGACTTTCACACTAATTTTTTGCTGTATTGTATAATTAGAATTTGTTTTATACTCTGATCCAGTTTTTATTTCCTTGAGTGGAGTAATTGAAATTTGTCTTCATTGAACTTCATATTGTGTTCTGAGGCCCATTTAAACACTTGGTTAATGTCCACTTTGAGATTTGCATTTTCCTCAATGAATGACAGTCATGCAAATTCTGGTATTGTCAGCAAATGAGGACATTGTGCTGTGGCTTACATCTCTGTCAGATATGAAGGTGAGGAAAAGGATGGGATTGAGTAGCAGAAAGAAGTTGATGATGATGTTTCGGTTATTTGTGTACATTTAGTAATTTACACAGAAGGGGTTACTAGCCCCTTGCTCCCGGCATTTTAGTTGCCTCTTATGACACGCATGGCTTACTGAGGAAAAATTCTTTTCCACTTTCCCATGGAGCTAAGAGGAAATAAACAAGGACAAGAACTAGAAAAAAAAATAGAAGAAAACCCAGAGGGGTGTGTATATACTGTATATGCTTGTATAGTGTGACCTAAGTGTAAGTAGAAGTAGCAAGACATACCTGAAACCTTGCATGTTTATGAGACAAAAAAGACACCAGCAATCCTACCATCATGTTAAACAATTACAGGTTTCTATTTCACACTCATTGGGCAGGATGATAGTACCTCCCTGGGTGGCTGCTGTCTACCAACCTACTACCACAAGACAGTAGTACCTCCCTGGGTGGTTGCTGTCTACCAACCTACTACCACAGAACAGTAGTACCTCCCTGGGTGTTGTTGTCTACCATCCTACTACCACAGGATGGTAGTACCTCCCTGGGTGTTGTTGTCTACCATCCTACTACCACAGGATGGTAGTACCTCCCTGGGTGGTTGCTGTCTACCATGCTACTACCACAGGATGGTAGTACCTCCCTGAGTGGTTGCTGTCTCTTACCTAAAATGCATTTCCCCATGGAGATGAAAGGATATAAATAAGAACAAGAAATATTAAGAAAATAGAAGACAACTCAGATGGGTGTGTGTATATATATGTATATATGTGTATACAGAGAAAGATCGCAGTCAGCAGGACTCAATACTGCTGCTGGGACGGACAAGATTCCAAGGCAGCACTCTTATCCACTTGGCAACACAAGTGCCACTTAAGCTGGGCAGCCTGGTTCACAAGCCATGTTTCTTTCAGCCCGGGCATGTCAGTGAGCCTCAACCATGGATTTCAAGCTATTTCAATCTCCTCCTGTATATTCTGACCTCTCAAGCGATTTTTATATCAATGCACCATGCAGAAACAAGCAGGTATATACAGAGAAAGATAGCAGTCAGCAGAACTTGATATTGCTACTGGGACGGACAAGATTCCCAGGCTGCGCCCTATCCACTCGGCCACACAAATGCCACATGCTCGAGGCTCACTGACGTACCCCAGCTGAGAAACATGGCTTGTGAACCAGGCTGCCCAGCTTATGTGGCATTTGTGTGGCCAAGTGGATAAGAGTGCTGCTTGGGAATCTTGTCAGTCCCAGTAGCAGTATCGAGTCCTGCTGACTGCGATTTTTCTCTGTATATACCACTTGTTTCTGTGTAGTTCATTGATATATGTATGTGTAATGTGACCTAAGTGTAAGTAGAAGTAGCAAACCAGACCACGTGCAGGGCTTGAACCTGCGGTTAGAGAGTTATAAAGCTCCAGACCGACGCTTTTGCCACTGGACCACTGTAAAAACTTGCATTTGTGTTCACAGTGGTGCCTATGCTAACCTTCCTATGGTGAATAAATATACCTAGTTGGTTGAATCTTATTGTAGCTAGCTGGCCCAGTGGCTAACGCATCGGTCTGGAGTTTTAAGACTCTCTAACTGCGGGTTCAAGCCCCGCCCATGGTATGGTTTGTTTGCAATCGTGTCATTACGATTTCATGAGTTTAGAAGTAGCAAGATATACCTGTTATATTGTGTGTTTATGAGACAGAAAGAAAAGACCAGCAGTCCTACCATTGTGTAAAACAATTACAAGTTTTGTTCTATAAATATGGCGGCTATATAAAATTAGAAGAGAAACTAAACACTGAAGGCTGGACATAGCGAGCAAGTCTCAGCTCTTATAACTAGAAATAGTTAATCACAGATGGGTAATAAAGTTTTAATTGTTATCTATAATCTTAACCTGAGATGCTTACCTTCAGTCTTCACCTTGCACCACTCAGCCTTCATCATAGTTTGGTCTCTGGCCTGCAGACAGTAAATGGCTGTTTTCCCTTACTGTGATAAACCTCTAACTGAGCAGTACACCTGGAGACACATTTCAACGTCTCCAATTGCAGTGATGGGTTTCCCTTGCAGGGCTCACATGGTCGTCATCAAATGACTGGAGGACCGCCTTCCCCTAAATCAGCGAAGCAACTCTCCCAGCTGACCATGACCACAGCTTCTGGCATGATGTGAGGAATATGCTGTCTTTGTCACAATGCTCAACCAGTATATCATCCTCTTTCCACCTCTAACTAGACTCCTGACAGTGTCCCTCTGACTGATACTCTCATATGGAGGCTTGCGTTCCCTACTCAGTGCTACAAGCCTTACAGGACACTTGAAGCACTTCCATCTAGAGCACTGCTTTTTCCTGATGAACACTTACTTGCCTCTCCTATATGAGGCAGCAGTGGATGCTGAGTCTCTTAGTTTCTCTTCAGTCGATTAAATTGTTTTTACATCATTAAGTATTTTTGGCACCCAGTGGGTGCCAAAAATATGATGGCATTTTGCCAGTCAAGACCTCGTTGCTTGTGAACACGATGATAATATACAGTGCTGACAAGTTGATAAGTAAGACACATGTGCAACAGTTAGGTATTGTTATCTACTTGTTGCTTCCTGAACCTCTCATTGGCAGGAAGATGTCTTCACTCAACATTTATCAGTACTTGGCAAACACCTACCTTGATGATACACACATGTGACTGGTTTCTAAGGTTTTGTTTATACAGTGCAGCCTTAAGCCATGTTTCCCTACTGATTGTCTGGTCAACCAAGCTGTTGCTGCTAGAGGGCTGCAGGTCTCCATAGCCATCACTGTTTGGCTAATCTGGTACTTTTGAAGGTACCGAGTCTCCTCTTGAAAAAAAGTTTATTGTTCTAATACCTCACTTAACGATGGAGTTCTGTTCCTAAGACCATATCGTGAAACAAATTCATCGCTAAGTGAGGAGCATAATATAATGGTAGTGGGTTTGTGTCAACACTCTTTGATATTGTTTTAACCCCTTCAGGGTCCAAGGCCCAAGTCTGAAGTGGTGCCCCAGTGTCCAAGAATTTAAAAAAAAAAAATTTGTTATTTTTTCTTATGAAATGGTAGGGATTCTTTTTGTGAGGGTAATAAAACAAAAAGTACGAAATTTGATGGAAAATTGATGAAATTATGCTCTAGCGAATTTTGAAGTGTCAGCGATATTGACGAATCGGCGATTTTGCAGACTTTGACTCCCATTTTAGGCCAATTACATTATTCCAGTCAACCAAATTCTTAGCTATTTCACTAGTATTACTTCTATTCTATCGATTGAGCACAAGAAATTGCCAAGTCAACTGTTTCAACTACAAAATAAAGTGATCGGAAATTGTTAATTTGGCCAATTTAACACGAAGTTCAAAATATTCCAATTTCAAAATAGGGTCCAGAATAAACAATGTAGGTATTCCTGGAACTAAACTAACATTTTTTCTGTTCATTAGTTATGTTTTGAGGCTTTACAAATAAATTCCATTTTGATTTTTTATTCGCATAATGAATTTTTATTCACACCAAAAAATAGATTTACTGTTATGCAATACTGTAATAATTGTATAAATATCATCACAATATTTGTGAGTGTATATTAGACCCGCCAGCTGGCGTGTATTAGACGTGTGAGGTCGTTTGTTTACTCTTGAATATCGGCAAAAATTTAACATTTCCGCTACTTTGAGCTCAGTTTCAAGCCATTTCCAGTGCTAAAACCAATCAAAATCATCTCTATTTCTGTAATATGTCTTCCATTCTATCAAATGAGACCAAGAAATCGCAAATACAACTATAAAAAACAACAAAAAAAACACGCAAAGTCCCTGTTTTAATAAAAAAAATCATGATTTCATTTTTTTTTTCTCTCATTAACCCCAGTGTGCTGCAGGTTTTGTTTATGTGGTGCCAATACCACTAGTATTCCTCATATCTACCCCAAATTACCACTCACAGTTTACCCAGTGAGCGAGCTCAGACAATCTACTTTTGGACCCTAAAACGTAAAGCCGTGATCTAGGGGACGGACCCGAAAGGGTTAAGTCCCCTTTCCCCCATTTATAACTTTGCTGTTTTTTTTTAAATTTTATACAGTAGTGAAACTTATACTAAATACGGGACCCCCCGCAAACGATGGCATCAAAGCGATTTTTCCGCATACCTTTATTTTTATCGAAAAATTTTTTGCCGCGCATACCGAAAAAAAAACCCCTTTCCCCGTTTTTCGTCCGAGACCGCCCAAGGGCCCTCACCAGCCTCAATGTGCCGCCCCGTCCCATTGTTTACCAGCCAGCCTCCGGGGTAACTCCAAGCATACACTCGGATATTTCGATTTTTACAGTTTTTTTGGGTGCTGTTTCGGGAAAATAAGGACCATGGCCCCAAGAAAGTTTCTAGTGCCAACCCACACACCTCAAAGGGTAAAATTACTATGAGATGAAGAAAGAGAAATTTGAAAGTAAAAAGTGGAGTGGTATAGCCGACCTTAAGCTGTACAAAAAACCCCAATAAAAACCACGCTCTATTGTGGCACCAGAAAACAATCAAGGAAGCTGTTCTTGCCAAAGTTCAACTGTGTTTTCAAAACAAAGATCGCAATGATGGAAGAGTTGAGGACTCTTTGGTGTGGATAAATGAAAAACAAAAAGAGAAAGCATCTCTCAGCGATCAATGTGAAAAGGCTAGGAAGTTGCTAAGATTTAATTTAAAAAAATGCCTGCAACTATGATAAATTGGGAAAATTTTAAAGGGCCCAGCAAAGGTTGGTTTGAGAGTTTTAAAAAGCGTATGGCATCCATATGTATAAGGCAGGGTGAGGCTCCCAGTTCGGACCACAAAGCGCTAAAAAATATGTCAGGAATTCAAGGAGTACATAGAAACTAAGGACGAAAACCTAAACCGTTTTTTTAATTTGTGAGAAACAGGCCTGTTCTGGAAAAAATGCCAAGCAGGACCACAACTCAGGGGGAAAAGGGCACTCCCCAGGACAAAAGCCTATGAAAGACGGGCTTACTTTTTGATGTTGCCAATGCTATGGTATTGCAAAGTAAAGCCTTATTATGATCACTCTGAAACTCCCAGAGCGTTCGGGGGAAAAAATGCCTCAAGGATAATTTGTGTGTGCTGTGGGGGGCAAACATAAGGCATGGGTCACTGGGGAATTTTTCTAAAACTGGTTACACCATCATTTGCCCCCAATGGAAAAATTACCTAACTGAAAAGAAATAGAACTTAAGGCCTCCTGTGTTAGACAATCCCCGGGCACCACAACGGGGGCAGGGGCGACTTTAGGGGACATGAGCTTCATTAAGGGAAGTTTTTGCCTCCTAATACCACTCCTCCCCTGCGGGCCCATGGAAACACAGGTTTTTCCAACTTCAAGAAACGTACACAAAAGCCTGTTTTGAAAGTGCTTTGTAAGCCTCAAAACCAACTGACCTAAGGATTTTGGAGGACATTTTTAATATCCTCAATTGTTAAACCTATAGGAAGGGTTTGGGGAGGAAGTGACTAAGAACCTTGAACTCTGCTTGGAAAAAACTGTGGCCAGAATGTGAGCAAAAGGGTTTTGAAGGGTTTGAGGCTAACCCTGAGAATCCGGGCCCAGTTGAGGGGATCCATTGTGGCATTGGAAAGTCCTTGGGGTTTGGGGGTTAGTGGGAGGTTTGGGGAAAGGGTTGGGGGGGAGGACAATGAAAAACTAACCACGATGACGATAATCAACTCAAGAGCAAGAGCCAGACCTGAGGAAACGGGTTCAAAGGGGAGAGAGAAATTGAAGAAGTTCCACTCAAAAAAAAGGGAAATCTGGCTAAGGGCTTGAAGTGAAAACCTTCATGGATGAAATCACCCTCACACAGCTATCAACCCGTGCTGGTGATTTTTAAACTGACAATTTTTGTGAAACACTTTGGGGAAAGTCATAAAGGAACAGAGGTACGGGCCACTAGGGGGACAATACTTGTGCAAAGAAGTCAGTGACTCTGAAGCGCCCTAGGCATTAAAAAAGAAGGGAATAACCCCAGAAAAGGACTTACCTTTACCTCAAGTCCTAAGGGAAAGGGGGATTCCCTTTTCTAAACAGAAAGAAGATAATCTCCCCCCCCTCCCATCCCCTCAACATCACCAATCTTCAATAAAAGTATGTCTTTTAAATTTCATTGCCTTTTTTTCAGTTTGTGTGTATTAAAATTAACATTCATGGGAAAAAAAAAAATTTTTTTTCATATTTTTTGGGCGCTTGCACGTTTAATTTTTTTTTTCCTTATTTTTTAGGGGGAAAAAATTCATTCGCAAAAAGTTATTTCGCAAAAACGTTTAACCCTCTTGCACGATTAAAATCGTTAACCGGGGTCCACTGTAAAGAAAAGGGGGAAATCGCTTAAATAGTCATTATTTATTATAAAACTGCAGAGAGCCTGTCGAAATTTCGGGGGCTCGGAAAAACGATAGGGTCGTTAAGAAAGGAGGGGCTGCATTATGGAAAGTTTGACGTGAGCAGCCATTTTTTATTGTGGGACCAGGGGCAGTTCATAGTTCTGGTCTTCAGTGTTTCCTTTTGTTATTCTTGCAGTCATTGTAGTACAAAAAGAGACCATGTATACATTATTTACCCAGAGTAAAATTATTATACACCATGTAGTGAAAGTACATCACATAGTACATTTTTAGTACCCATTAGTACATTTTTATAACCTGTAGTGTATTAAAGTACATCCATAGTACTTTATTATCACCATGATACATTATTAGTACACCATGTAGTGATTATAAGACACACAAAGTACATTATTTGCCCCATGTAAAATTTATTTAGTACACCATGTATGAAAAATAAGTGCATCACAAGTACATTTTTTAGTAAAACCTTTAGTACATTTTTAGTGCACCGTATGTTTTTATAAGTACATACGTATTACTTATTAGTACACCATGTAGTACATTATTAGTACACCATGTAGACATTATTAGTAAAAACCATTATGTTTTAAAAGTACATCACGTATACATTTTTTAGTACACCGTATTACATACATACACCATGTAGTGTTTTATAAGAACATTTTGTAGTACATTTTTAGTAAAACTGTTTTACTTATTAGTACACCAGATTGTATTATAATACACATGTACATTATTAGACACCATGTAAATTACAGACCC